GGTGTCATTTTGAAGGAAAAGGAAAGTGGATTCTGAAAGTTGTAAGGTCTGGGAGGAAAGGAAGTTATATAAATGACACAGGCCAGTAAGCCAGGACAAGTGGAACAGGGAAATTGAGATAGTTAAACAGTAATTTGGAGCTGTTAGTAAATCCCTTCTTCCGTAAACCAAGGAGACTTAACAGTAAATGATTTGCATTTTGCTTCCCTAACCAAAGGTCAAATCACTTATATCTACAAACTCAGGGAAACAGATAGCAGAAATCCAAATAGTGTCCATCCCTGGCCACCCAAGGCCAAATGAAGTTAAAACTTTCTTTTCTTTTCTTTTTTAATATATTTTATTGATTTTTAACAGAGAGAAAGGGAGAGAGATAGAGAGCTAGAAACGTTGATGAGAAAGAAACATCGACCATCTGCCTCTTGCACACCCCCTACCAGGGATGTGCCCACAACCAAGGTATATGCCCTTGACCGGAATCGAACCTGGGACCTTTCAGTCCGCAGACCGACCCTCTACCACTGAGCCAAATCGGCTTTAGCTGAAGTTAAAACTTTCTTGACCTAGAATTGGCTTTAGATCATTCCAATAGGCCCTGGGATACCTCAAGATCTTTGTACAATGGAGACTAGGGACCAAGTTCTTTAGAAGAATGTGAATATCTCTTCTACTTTAATCTCTCTCAAGTTAGAAGGCTCCTGGCCCAAGCCCCTCCTCTTGAGTTCCTGGCTCATCGCCATTCACCAGACTGTTCTGGTCAAGACATGGAGGGCAACAAGTTGGGACTCTCCTGGGAAGAACCCTACCTTGTCTTGCCTACACTGAGACTGCTGTTCAGACTGCAGAACGAGGTTGGACCCATCACGCATGGGTTAAGGGCTGGCCACCAGCTTCTCTGGGTGGAGACACCTCAACTTGGACGGCCATACCAAGACATAGCCCCTTGAAATTAACACTAAAGAAACTATAAGCTGTCTATTTGCTTTAGGGTTCTGGCAAATTGCGGGGCTTTTACAATGTGGGCTGGGGAAATGTGCACAGCAATCCGTATCATGCTTACCCAGTTAAGTCTAGATAATTTGAATGACTTGGATATTTCAGCTTTTAGGCCAAGAGATTGGCCAGGGCTAGGTTTAGGAGCAGATGTTGCAGGAAAAGATCCCCTAGGAAGGTTTGCTCCAAGACTGGTAGCCCCAGCCATTGCCATGCAAATAGAAGTAGGCTGTAAAGAAATTAATGCCTGGGAGGGATAGACTAAATATTCTGTACATGCCCTAAATGAAAGCGAATGTTACGCTTGTGCGGCAGGAAGACAGGAGGCCCACGTGGTCCCATTTCCATTCAGATGGGCCTTAGACAGTAATGGGGTGGAATGTGTGCTTGCCCTGTGTCAGGAGAAAACTGCCTGAGAAATGCTTCCTGTAAAACTCTCTCCCCGTTGTTCCTATCCCATAGAGGTAAAGAGAAAGATCCCCCAAAACCACCCAGCCCCGTCCTCCAATGTAAACTATACCTCCTGTCCCTCAAGAGGGGAAAGAGGACTTGGAGTCTATGGGAAATTTATCCAGATGTGTAAATGGCCGGTATCCTCAGAAGCACTGTGGATACCCCCTGCTGATGTGCGGTGGTGTTATGGGGACCATTCCTTGCGGCCTTCCCCAGCATCTGGAGCAGAACTTGCACGCTCATACAGTTGGCTTCCCCCTTCACTTTGGCAGATTGTAAATCTTTTTCAACGGACAGACTAGGAAGAGGACAGAGAGGCCAGGGGGCGCCTTTGACCCCATATTTACACAGATCCCACCAGGGTTCCAGGAGGAGTGCCAAGGAGTTCAAGCCTAGAAATCAGATTGCTGCAGGATTTGAATCTGACTGTTGTGGTGGTCCACTGTAATCAAGAATGTGGGTTGGATTCATTATATTTACTATAACCAGCAAAGAATTGCTAACTATACTCGAGATGCAGTTAAAGGTACAGCCAAACAACTAGATGGCACCAGCAGGGTGACTGGGGGAATAGGTTGGCCTTGGAAAGGGTTCTGGCAGAAACAGGAGGAATGTGTGTCATGTTGGGGGGCTGGTGTTGTACATTCATCCCTGACAGCCCAGCCAGCTGGACCATCACTGAGCCTAGACTCTCAATTCCAATAATTGCAGGCTGTTGTTGTACCTTGTGATTAAGCCCCTATCCCAGTGGTTGGCAAACTCATTAGTCAACAGAGCGGCAAACCATGGCTCTCGGGCCGCATGTGGCTTGTGAGCCGCAGTTTGCCGACCACTGCATTACAGCAATGATTCAGAGAGTGGAAGGGAATGATGGTATCCACGCTCACTGCTCTGATGATCAGGTTAGGAGTTCCAGTGATGGTGTATCAATCATCCCATGCATGAGGGGTCTTATGCAAAGGTTAATGGAAACTGTGTTGGCCAAACAGCAAAATAATCTCCGCTTAAACACTGCAGAGCGGGAATGCTAGTCGAGTTTGAGGAAAAGAGTTAAATAAGAAAAGTGGGGAGTTGTGGGAATAAATAAGTAATCTTTTCTGTCAAAGAAGGGATTTTAGGCAGCTGCCATTTTGGCCCTGTGACTTACAGCTTCCTGGGGCCGCCATTTGAAGCAGCAAAGGTCAACCCCTCCCTTTTTCCTTTAAATTAGCCAATGGCTCAAGAATGTGACCCTAAGCTCTGGCCAATCAAGAGTGAGGGACAGATGACCTTGACGTGTGTCAGACACAAAATTGCGAGCAGATGGCCTGCTCAGTGGGCGTGCTGCCAGACCCTGTGTGTGCACGCCTCCTGCAGGGGAAAGGTATTACCTTGCTGTCTGGCTTCTGAGTGTCCTTTGTCTTCTGCCAGGAGCCCTGGTTTGGGGGCTCGCCTTCTTTCTAACACCGTGCAGACCCCACGCTCAGTGAACTGATGGCCGCAGCTGGAACAGAAACCCTGGGCAGCACCTTAGCCCTGCTTAAGACACCACTGGGCTTTTCCTTGGTGAGGTGAAGGGAAACGGGACTTTGGAAACTCAAGGATGTGATTTCATGCAAATAAATGCCACTCATTCTCCCATGGGAGTCTCAGAAAATTCCTTTTCTGGTGACATTGCAAGGGTCCCACCTCCACCAGCAACCAGTGGGGACACAGAGAGCTCCCCCATCAGTAGCATCATATTTATTTTTCCCCATTTGCTTTGTTCACATCAGGATCTAAACATGCTCCACACATTGTATTTGAATGATACATTTCTCAAATGTTAAGAATGTAATATCGCTTTATTTTTAAAAATTCATTTGCTGAGGAAATGGAGTCATTTGTCCTAGAGTGTCCCACCTTCTAGACGTTGCTCATTATATTGCTGTGTTGTAATGTAAAATATCTTCATCCCTGATACTTCCTGAGAATAGCCTAATGTTAATCCGAGGTTCTCAAAGTATTTTGACCTCATGACACTTTTACACTTAAAAATTATTAAAGACCTCAAACTATTTTTATTCATATGAATTATTGATATTTATAATATTAGCTGTTAAAACTATTTTTAAAATATTTTTTTACTATCTAGTTTTAATCATTTTCAAAAAACTTCCCCCCAAAATGCCCATATAGAATGACAAGTTTTTCTCTCAGTCCATTTTTCAAGTAAGAATTGTGATTCGTGAAAACTGTAGATTAAAACTGTTACAAATACGTTTTCTTAAGACAAACATTAAATTTTATTGTGCAGACTTCCCATTTAGTCATAGAGAATATTGAAATAAATATATCCAAGGTTTCAGACTTGATAAAATTATTTTTACCATTTCATCAAGTTCACCCAGGACAGTTTTTCAGTAAAAATGTCTTGTTTCTTGCAAGTGCATGGTTATGGAGAACCCAGGCTGCTGCTGCTGCCTTGATTCATGCTGGTGCATCAGAACTTTTACTCACCAGTGGCTGTGGCTCAGTGTTTGACCCATCTTGCTTTTGTTCCACAGTGCGAATGTCAGCACAGTAAAAAAGACAGAGAACATTTTAGTGTCCTTATGAAAGTTACAACCTCATGGTCTCCCTGGAAGAGTCTACTGGTCACAGCCTGAGAATGCCGCTTTGAAGTGTCAAATGGCCTCACCTGCTGTTCCTTCCTGGCTTCCCCACTGAGGCCAAGACCCTGTGACAGCACCTCTGAACCACTGCTCTTCCCTGGTTCTAATTGTTTCTTTTCCCTCAGCTAATACTGGATTCTCAGCAATAATTCCTATTTCTACACCCACCCTACTTTTACTTAGTTATTTCTTTTTATTTATTCTTAAAATTATTTAGCTATTTCTTTTTATTTATTCTAAAATACAAGGTTTAAAGAAAAACATAGATACAGGAAAAAATGAAACATATTCCTACATATGCTTATCGGCCAGTACTTGACCGATTGCTAAAAAAAAAAAAAAAAATACAGTATCAACGTTTCTCTTATCTATTCAATGCCACATGTCTAAAGCACATAACGTAAGGATTTGTGCCAAAGGCTACCTTCATTCCAGGAAGTTTTTCAGAATAAGAAAACAGGGCATAGGATGATAAAGTCCAAACTGTGCCCGTTCCCGGTACCCCTGTCCTGGTCCACGTGCCTGCTATTCATTCTAAGGCCACACCCTCGGACTCTTATAAAAGCCGCATCTTCTCTGACTTGACCAACCATCCCAGACACAGTACCTGCAAAACAGGTGAGTGGGAGCTGAGAGGAGGTGAGAACCACGGCCGAGGTTTGCCTCACACATTTGGGGAGAGGCTATGGGAGGATTCTGGTTTTCAAAGAACACCAGTCTGAGGGGTAAGAGGGTGTACGGATTCTCCAATTATTTCCAGAATCATAAAAGGGGATAGATCAATTTATTTCTAGGCGTGTTGTCAAAGGAAAAGACAAGAGGGAGAACGGAGGGGTCCCTCCATGCCCTCTCTCTGACCACACTTGCTGAGTGATCTCGCTTGCTTCCCCAAGTCACAGGGATTGTACAACGCTGCCTGCCATGGCCCTGCCCAGCGTGTCCTGGGTGCTGCTCTCCTGCCTGCTGCTCCTGTCTCAGGCACAAGGTGAGCTTTCTCCGCCTCCGGCACGGGGTTTCCTGGGAATGCTCAGGGCCAGGAAGCTTCCTCCGGGAGGCCTGTGGCGATGGTGAAGCGTTTCCTCACACAGTGAGACTGCCTGCCATCCCTCCGTCCTCACTCCTTCCTTCGGGGTAACTCCTGGTGAGGGCACCACGGTGGTCCGTTCACAGTGGAATGAGATGGTTCCCACTTTGTGAGTGGACATGGGCAGGAGGAAGAGAGAAAGCAGGAAGGGTCGGGGTGAGAGAAGCAGGAGAGGGGGAGGAGGGCTTGGTGTGAGAACGTCAGCGAAGAGTGGGGGAAGTGTTGGACTTTTGACTAAAGGGGGAGGGTAGAACGGAAGGGATGCTTCTTCATTTAATGGGGGTAGCTCAAGATCAAGAAGTCCTGAAAGTGTGAGAAATGGTGAGAGATAGGCAAGAGTTTGGTGTTCATTCCCCCAAGAACTTGGCTCCCAAATATTCCCACAGTCAGTCCCAACACCCATCCCCACAGTGTCTCACTCCGTTCCTCGCTCTTACCTCCATCCACCCCAGGTGAAGAGTCCAAGAAGGAGCTTCACTCTCCACGGGGCTCCTGTCCTGAAGGCTCCTATTCCTATCGCTTCAACTGCTATGCTTTGTTCATGACACCAAAATCCTGGGCCGATGCAGATGTGAGTAGATGCATTTACAGGTAGAAGTATTACGTTAGGGACAAGAGGAGGAGGGGATGGCCTCCATTTTCCAGATTTTTTGAGGGTGAGGATGAGCACCCTCATCTTTTACGCACACACCTCTTCTTACCCCTCAGCCCTGCCCTACCCCTGTGACATCTCAGCCTCCTCCTCAGTCTGTCTCCTCCCCACACAGATTGCCTGCCAGAAGCGACCCTCGGGGTTCCTTGCCTCTGTGCTCAGTCCCTCTGAGGCATCCTTCCTGGCTTCTGTGGTCAAGAGCAATGCAAACAGTTGCCCAGACGTCTGGATTGGTCTTCATGATCCCACACAGGTGCGATGACATCACCTACCTATTATCTCTGAAGCTGCTGTGGCCATTCAGGCCCACTCCCTGTCCCTGTGCCTGCCCAGAGAACTCCAGAGCTTGAGATCTGCAGGGGCGTTTGGGGGAAGGGGAGGATCTGGAGGTCAGGTGAGGAGCTGAGTTTTATGAAAGTCAATAGTCTCCAGCTGAAGTTAATCTGCCTCTTGTAGCAATTTGTATACAATTCATACATGACACCCTGTAATTCAGTTCTCTGAGCTTCAGTGAGGAATCCTACATGAAAATGAGATTCATTTTTCCTTGTAGAATAGCCATGCCTCTGAGATTCAGGGTGTAATTATAAATTCACTGCCAATTGTTGTCCAGCCGGGAACATGTTACTCTGAGCGGTTCCAATGGTCTTTGTGATTATTGACTTTTGGACTTACCAATGGGAGCAAGGAATTAGGGAAGGGGAAAGCTCCGTGACAACATATGGAATAGCAGACCAAGTTCCATAATCCTGAGGAAGGGACCAGGTGTTCACCTGAGGGATCCTGCATAAAGAACTCTGACCATTCAACCTTACCTGGCTCCATCTCTACTCTGTAGGGCTATGAGCCCAATGCAGGTGGATGGGAGTGGAGCAATAATGATGTGATTAATTACGTTGCCTGGGAGAGAAATCCTGCCGCCAATTCTGGCTACTGCGGGAGCCTGTCACGAAGCGCAGGTAAGAAAGAGAAGAGCTACCTTCTGGCCAACCTTTCCATCCCCTCATCCCAGTTTCTAGGCCTATCCTTCAGGGAATTCTCCTGAACCAGAAAATGCCGTGTTGGTTTGTCTTTTCCCATCTCTTTTCATTTCTCTCCTCTGTGAGTTTCCTTCCCCTGGAGAAGGTCACTGGTGACGATGAGGGCGGGGCTTTGAATCCTAGGCCAGAGTCTGGGATGTCTTTCCTTTGAGCCTTGAGATCCCCTAGCCCCCTTCATCTTTTCTCTCTCCAGGATATCTGAAATGGAAAAACAATAACTGTGTTCAGAAGTTACCCTATATCTGCAAGTTCAAGAATTAGGTGAGTCCAGCAGGTGTGGGTCAGTGGTTGAGCATCAATCTATGAACCAGGAGGTCTCAGTTCAATTCCCTGTCAGGACACATGCCCAGGTGGCGGGCTCCATCCCTGGTGTGGGGTGTGCAAGAGATATATGATTCTCTCTCATGATTGCTGTTTCTTTCTCTCTTTCCCTCTCCCTTCCTCTCTGAAATCAATTAAAAAACAAAAAAGAATTAGGTCAGATGGGAGCCAGCGGCCTGAGTTTGGATGCAGCTCATCATGGGACCAAGTGAGGACCCGCCGGAAAGGAATATTTTTCACACACCCTCAACCCGGACCTCTTCTAGTTCACCTTCCCTCCTCCTCACCCTCACTTCAGGCTCCCATGTGTCCCATGGCCGGAAGTCCCAGACAGTAGAAATAAATATTTTACTCAATTCTTGTGCATTCTTGTGTTCCAGTTTCATAGCAAGACTGAGGAAGCAGTGGGTGTGGGAGAAAATCTAGGTGCTGCCCTTGTTCCGTTTCCTTCAGGCCCTTGGGACAGTGACTGCAGGGACGTCCCCACCAGCGTATTTGCGATGAGTATGTAGGCCCTGGTCACATGGGATTCACACGCCCGCCTCCTGATGGTGTGGCACCAGCAGCATCGTGGGTTCCTGTTCGCCTCTGATGCTACTGTAACAGCACTTCTGACATCACTGGCCAGAGGATTGGTGGTTATCTTTAATTTGCGATCTAAATTGGACCCGATTTCATAGTTTTCCCAGTTTTATATACTAGAATAAAGTTCTTATGACATTTCTAATAGGGTTAAGATGTTCCTGCGTGAGACCTGTGTGTAGTCAGAGGTGGGCCGACTTCCAAGACATATCGGTGAGGGCGCAGATTATTTGTCTTTAAATTTGAGGTCATTTTGTCTGGCGGGTCCTATGCCCACAGCTCTGTGACGGTGTCACTCACAGTGACCGATGCGGGGAGAGGGACCTGGCAGAGGAACAGCCTCAGAGGAGTGGACGGCTTCCGTGAGCCGTTACAGGTGCCTTGCTCCCCACATGGCTCACATACAGTGGGCTCTGTCAAAGTCCTAGCCTCTCCCCCTGCAAATCCCCACTTATTTTGAGCTCCTGGAGGAGCAGAGACTTGCCCATTTCTCTCCCTCATTCCTGCCCATATGTGTGTGTGTGTGTGACTGTGTGTGAGTGATTGTGAACATGTGTGTTGAGCATGTATGAAGATGTGTGCATGTATGTGTGAAAGTGCATGCATGGATGTTAATGTGTGTGACAGATGGGTAATGTGTGTTTTTAAGTGTGTAATGGGGAGTGTGTGCATGTGTGTGGAAAAGTCAATGAGTATGAAAGTGCATGTGTGTGTCTGTGTTTCAATTTGTGTGACTAAATGGTATAAGCATTTGCGATGGTGAGTATATGTGTATATGACTATGTGTGTATGACTGTGAATGGTGTGTCTAAAGGATTGTGAATGGGTGTGTATGAATGTGCTTGTGTGTGACTGTGTGTGAATATTTGAATGTGTGTGACTGAATGCATAAGCATGTGTGAAGGTGCGTATATGTGTGAATGACTGTGAATGGTGTGTCTAAAGGATTGTGAATGGGTGTGTATGAATGTGGTTGTGTGTCTGTGTGTGAATGTTTGAATGTGTATAACTGAATGCATAAGCATGTGTGAAGGTGGGTATATGTGTATGACTGTGAATGTCCATGTGCCTGAAGGATTGTGAATGGGTGTATATAAATGTGTGTGTGTGACTGTGAATGTCCATGTGTATGAATGGTTGTGAGTAGGTGTAAATGAATGTGCAGCTCTGGGAAGGCAGTTCTTTGCTTGTAACCTCAAGGCCTTGAACGTAGACCTTTGGTCTCCTCTTCAGATGAAGTTTCACAGCGAAACCTTGAACAGGATGCCATCCGCTCCTAACACGTGTCCGTGTCCGTGTCCTGTAATGGACACATCACAACACAGCCTGTGAGGCAGTACTTTAGAAACTCAATTCTCCAGTTTTCTGTGGTGGCACAGTTATCACATGGAATCAGTTATTTGGGGCTCAAATCTTTATGAATATAAACACTGATATCGGCCACCATTTGAAGCCCTGCTGGCCGCTCTCAGCTGCAGGAGGCTCCGTGGGCGGCTGGCAGTGGGGGTGCCTGCAGGGTCCCATCCTCAGCAACAGGCGGCTGGGCATCAGGCGAATGCCTCTGCTGTCATCAGAGGTGTGCCCGGCCAAAGCCTGGGTGTGCACCCTCCATACCCCAACGCACAATGGCAACTCCCCACACAGCATCCCTTGGTTTCTCAATAGGCCTGGGAGGTCAACGGGAGGGAACCGAGGCTGGTCCAGCGCTGCCCATCGGACCTACACCCAGGCTCTGTTCATCACTGGGTGTCCAGAGCCTCCTGAGTGTGTGATTCAGGCAGCCTGAGCGCATCACACCACGCTTCTATTTTAAGACCTGGCCTTCTCTTTCTTGTTCTTATGGATTGCTTTATCCCAGTAAATATAGACAATGAAATTTATCCCTCCAGCCACTTTTCAGTGCCCAGTGCCGTGGTGTGGAGAACATTCATACTGCTGTGGGGCCATCACCATCATCACCTCCATCACTCTTCCCATCTTCTCCCACTGAAATCTGTCCCCACTAAAGGCCAACTCCCCATCCCACTCCCCACCACTGGTACCCTCCCTCCTACCTTCCTCTCTGCCTGCGACGGGTCTAGGGACCTCCTGTGAGTGGGGTCTCTCAGGATTTGTTTTCTTGTGAGTGGCTTTTGCACTGAGCACGTCTTCAAGGCCCATCCAGGTTGTAGCATGTGTCACAATGTCCTGCCTGTTTTTTAATTGAATCTATTGGAGTATCATTGGTTAATAAAACTGTGTATGCTTCAGGTGAACAGTTCTATAATACATCATCTGTATATTATATTGTGTGTTCATCACCGCAAATCAAGCCTTCTTTCACCATTTACCCCCCCATACCCTCTTCCAGCTCCCTCTCCCCTTCCCTCATAATCCCTATAGTGATGTTTGTGTCTATGAGTTGTTGTGTTTCTTTGCTTAATCCCTTCACCCTTTTCACTCAGCCCCACAACACTTCCTCTCTGACAGCTGTCAGTCTATTCTCTATGAGTCTGTTTCTATTTTGTTTGTTAATTTATCTTGTTCATTAGGTTCCACATATAAGTGAAATCATATAATATTAGTCTTTTCTGACTGGCTTATTTCACTTACCCTAATACTCTCCAGGTCCATCCATGCTGTCACAAATGGTAAAATTTCCTTCTTCTTTTTTTTTTTTTTTTTTACAGCGGAGTATATTCCATTGTGTCAATGTACAGAAGCATTTTTATCTATGTGGGCCACTTCCAGATCTTGAATATTGAATATAGGCTATTGAATATAGAGGTGCATATATTCTTTCCAACCAGTGTCTCTGGTTTCTTGGGATGTATTCCCCAAAGTGGAATCGCTGTGTTATAAGGAAGTTCCGTTTTAATTTTTTGAAGTAACTCCATATTGCTTTCCCAGATGCAGTGCATGAGTGTTCTCCATTTCTCCACATTTTCACCAAGACTGTTGTTTATTGATTTGTTGGCGGTAGCCATTGTGGCAGGAGTGAGGAGATATCTCATTGTGGTTTTAATTTGCATTTCTCTCATGATTAATGACATTGATCATCTTTTGATATCTATTGGCCATCTATATGTCCTCTTTGGAGAAGTGTCTATTCTAATCCTTTTTTAATTGGAATTATTGTTTTTGGTGTTGAGGTATCCAAATAAATTTTGGATATTAAGCCCTTATCAGATATATGGGCAAATATTTTCTTCCATTCATTGGATTATCTTTTCATTTTGTTGATGGTTTCCTTTGTTGTGCAAAAACTTTTTAGTTTGATGTAGTCTCATTGTTTATTTTTTGTTTCCCTTGCCCGAGGAGATAAAGCAGAAAAAAATTTGCCACAAAAAATGTCTGAGGTTTTACTGCCTATGAATTTTTATGGTTTTAGTCTAACATTTGTCTTTAATCCATGCTGAGTTTATTGTTGTGTATGGTGTAAGAAGTGGTCTAGTTTCATTTTTTTCATATAACAGTCCAATTTTCCCAACACAATTTATTGAATAGATTATCTTTACCCCACTGTATGTTCTTGCCTCTTTTGTCCAATATTAAATGACCATAAATGGGTGGGTATATTTCTGGGCTTTCAATTCTGTGCCATTGCTATGCATCTCTCTTTTAATGCCGATACCATGCTGTTTTATTACTATGGCTTGATAGTTTGGTATCAGGTAGTGTGATGCCTTCAACTTTGTTTTTCTTTCTCAAGATTGCTGTTGTGATTTGCTGTTTTTGTTGTTGTTTTGTGGTTCCATATACATTTCTGGAATATTCATTGTAGTTCTGGGAAATATACCATTGATATCTTGATAGGAATTTCATTGAATCTATATATTTTTTTGGTAGCACGGACATTTTAATAGCGTTAATTTTTTCTATATGTGAACACTTTATATGGTTCCACTTACTTGTATCTTCTTCAATTTCTTTTCTTTTTGCTGTTATTAATGCTCACCCAAAGATATTTTTTCTATTGCTTTTTTAGAGAGAGTGGAAGAGAGTAAAGGAAGGAGGGTGGGAGAGAAAGAGAGAGAAACAGATATGAGAGACACACTTTGATTGGTTGCCTCCCACATGAGCCTTGACCCAGGCTAAGGATCAAAGCTGCAACCCAGGTGCATGGCCTTGAACAGGAATGGAACTCATGACCCTTCGGTGCACAGGCTAGTCCTCAAACCACTGACCCACACCAGCTAGGGCTTCGATTTCTGTCTTCAGTGTCTTATAATTTTCTGAGTACAGGTCTTTTAAATCCTTGGTTTAATTTCATTTTAGATTTAAAAAAAAATGTACTGTAAATGAGATTGTTTTCTTAGTTTCTTTTTGGAAGTTCATTTTTGATCTATAAAAATGCAACTGATTGATGGATATTTATT